GCACAAAGAACTCAACATTTTAATTACCCACAGCTAGCTACCAATAACTCAACTCTCACCCAGACCATGCCACAATAGAGAGAATGACTAACGCTGCTGCATACCACATGTTACAATAACCCAATACTGACACCACATTATGTTCCCTGTCTGTTGCAGCAGCGAATTGTTCCCTTGGTCTGGGTGGCAATAGACGGTTCACACAGGAGATGTGACTTCGGTCCATTGGCAGACACCCCAGACTGTGTCAGTGGGGTTTGAAGCGCAAGGGGATATCCCTTTTATTCAGGGAGGACATTGTTGGGTGGTGCCACTAGCCGCAAGAGTAACTCTGGCAGGAGGACTGTTGTAGTGCACGCCACGAGACACTGCAGGACTGCGGGGACATGAGGTTCAACACAAGGTAATCATTGGTTGAATAGTCAAAGACACCCACAACCAGGCACTCTCTGTATGGATGACACGAGTTCAAGGCAAGAGTGTGGGCCACAGGTGTCTGAAGCAAGGAAATGAAGTTTGCGATCGAGAGGTCCAGGAAGTAGGTCTCACCATTTGCTGGCGGCTAGGAACAAAAACCGGGCTCTGGCCACCCACACACTTTCTCAGTAGTAGTGTCATTGAAAGGAAGGATCTCACGCTTTCTGAATCGTCTTCCGCATCACTAACGTACACACTAACAGTCAGATTTTCCCTCAAAGTGACGAATGTTCAAGTTAAGCCTCCTGGCACTGGAAAACAGAGGCATTCAAGTCAGGTCAGTCTTTCAACCACATCCCCCGAGTTGCACGGATCGTACACACAGTGTCAGTAGGAGAGCACTGAAATTGAACGTGCCAGGCCGAAAAACCGGAAATCTGCCACAAGAGGCAATTATCAATCTCCGCATGATGGAAACTTTTCTTCACCGTTAACAAAGACTCTGAACACATACACCTGTGGCCCACTTAAAAAGGCATTAATGCTCTGGGGGGAACATCCTTTGATATTTTCTTCCATACAGTACACGGATATTCCCCATCAACATTGACGTACTCCCCAGACACAAGTTCATCGGCCCTTAGAGTGGAATCCTCTAATGTCTCAAAGTAGAGAAAGGGATTGTCGGTTGCGGTGTATCAGGCAAGGAACTAGGTTCTCTACTGGTGCCTCAGGCCCTCCCCTTTGAACACTACTAAAGGAAACACACGAAGCAGTGGCAGGTGGTATGAACTTTGTGTCTTTCACCCGAAGAGCCTTCGTACTATACACCTCTTTCAAACTGGGTTGGAGTGTTAGGAAATTTCCGTGCCGTTGACTCTCACAGAGAAACTGGCAGAGAGGCCCTTTTGTCATAGTGGCCTGGCCCTGCAGACGAGAGGACATCTGCTGAGGGCCGTAGGGGACCGGCACTCTGGTTGGGCTACAGTGGCTCCTGGTATTCAGTGACCACCTGCCTCGCTCCACTGTTCCTCGGGTGAGTGAGTTGTTTAAAGAAATTCTTGTAGGCCATGTTGTATCCTTGACTTCTTCTGACGCGGCACAACAGAACAAATCACAGCTTCTGGGTTAGTACATGAATGATTGATTTTGGCCTCCAGGTGGACAAAGGTCGTAGGTTTCTGACTAACCTTGATCTCGCTAGCCTGACGCTCTCCCTGGTTCATTAGGTACAGGTACATGCCAAAAGAAGACGTGGTTTTTGGGTTCTTCCGTTTATAGTACGCCCTTCCCTGTGGGTGTTACATCCGATCACGTTGAATTCATCTTCACGAACTCGCGGTCGATGTGAAGCTAGAGCTAGCACAATTAGGTCTTGGGTGTTTACTATGCTTTTGGGGTTTCCCCAGGGTTTTCCCCTAAAATGTGCGCTTGACTTTCTTGACTTGACGTCATAACCACAAATATTATTCATGACAGTAAGGTATAGAGGGGAAATATACTCCCTAAGCAACGAGTTGACTTTGGCTAGCACCTCTTAGCTACCACATCATTAGGGGATACTTCATTGTCACGTGCCCTTCACATCACCACTGCGGATTGTCTGCTGCATACTGAAAATGGTGGGGTAGAGTGCATGAGCAACATCTTATAGCTACTGGGTCTCGCAACTTGTTATTACACTCACCTTGAAGCACTTCCTGGGCTGGGTTGAGGCGGATCTTCAGTGGATAGTGCAAAGGTTGATTTTTAAGTTTTGACACCAACTACGTAAACGCACTGAACCTCTGTTCCTGGGATAGCTTGACCTTCTGTCATCGAATTGGCTTAGTGTTTGGTGGTAATGCCTCCTTCCCCTGTTGTGGTAACACAAATTTGTGCATGTCTTGCAATGCATACTACAAGTCATCTCTTTACCTCCGCTGTTTAAGCCAGGAGAACGCGAAATTATGACGACACGAGAACACACACAGCAACAGCTGCAACTAGTCTTACATACAGAAGCAAAAATACTGTCACCCAATAGCTTCGTACTGATCGTTGGAGTGTGGTCTGATTGAGACACTCACACACATTCGTCTCTGTTGTAAACGGCCCCTCGTTCAATCATGTAATGCAGTTACTGTGATGCCTGAGAGGGTATAGAATCAATAACATAGCTATAACTGCCATCATTTTCGGCTGTGACTAATGTGGACGATCGCCCATCGAGGAGACTGAGGAAAGTTACGGTGGGAGTCAAGAGTGATATATGCCAGTCCTCGCCTCCGTATCTTTTCCCTACACAAGGACTCAGGTAACCACGGTCTTCCAGTACCGACAAGAGGGAGACAGGTGAGATTTGACAGACATGCGGAGTCTGAGATAGACGTGATGGAGCCTTCTGAGAGCGTTTGTATTCCTCAGATCGTGGCCCGTTTCCCTCACCCTCCGGAGATAAAGACAAATAGCACATCACACGTCCGTGAGCCACGTTCTCACCACCATGTCACCCTATCTACGTCAAGTAGCACATCAAATTTCTTCGCAAGCAATGTTACGATTCACATACGATGAAGCCGCTTCACCACCACACACACACACAAGATAGACAGATCGCGATCAGGGCATATGTATAGAAGGGTCGGCCGTTCCTCGGCATAAACAGTCGCGTACCAGTGGTACTTCAATGCGTTATTCACATACAGTTGTACACGCAATGAGAGGCAGGGCAATGTAGTGGACATAAAGCATGAGTACATATGGTAGCGAGACTGATTATGCACCGAGGCAGTGTCGACCATCACGTATGCCCGGATCGCGATGCGTCTATCTGTGGGGTGGCTTTTACCCGAAGCGCTTCATCCGGATGTGAGTCGTCGTACACTTGCTGCGAGAAGAAAGTGTGACGCTCCTTTGAGCAGCGATGACATGGTGGTGCTCTGCCTTGGCGCTCACCGGACAGCAACTCTCTTTGTCTTTACCGACAGGACGAAACACGGCACACGACTGCTGATCACAACGCCGTCAGAAGGCTCCATCACGCTCTCTCGTCTCAGTCGCGCCGCATGCAGTCAACTCTCTCTCCCTGTCTCCCTCTTGTGGTTACTGGAAGAGCCGCTCACACTGGTCCTCAGGGTACCCAATGAGTCAGGGAGGACTGACACGCATATATACACTCATCTTTGACTCCACGATAACTACTCAGTTATTCTCTCGAGGCCCCACATATAGTCAAGCCGACACTAGACATGGCAGTTTAGCACATGATAGTAGCACATCATCAGCATCAACAGTACAACTGCGAATACCTGAAAATGTCTTACAACGGAGAAAACCACTAGTGCTCATGCAGACAACTCCATACGATCACAGTACGCTTTGGATTTTTTGCTGTAATACCAGCTGCAGCCTTCATCTTAGTAGCCTTATTTGTGCTCTGGCTTAAACAGCGGAGGTAAGAAGATGAGTGTGTATGCATTGCAAGACATGCAGTTTGTGTTACACAACAGGGGAAGGAGGGATTACATCACTAAGCCAATCGATGAGGAAGGTCAAGCTATCCAGGAAAGAGGTTAGTGCTGTTTACGTAGTTGTGTGTCAAACTTAAAATCAACCTTTGCACTATCCACTGAAGATCCGCCTCAACCCCAGCCCAGGAGTGCTTCAAGGTGAGTGTACTAACAAGTTGCGAGACCCAGTAGCTATAAGATGTTGCTTCATGCACTCTACACACATTTTCAGTATGCAGCAGACCATCCGCAGTGGTGCTGTGAAGGGCAGTGACAATGAGTCATCCCCTAATGATGCTGGTAGCTAAAGAGGTGCTTAGCCACATGTCAACTCGTTGCTAGGGTAGTATTTTCTATACCTTACTGTCATGATAATATTTGTGGTTATGACGTCAGGTCAGAAGTCAGCGCACATGTTAGGGGAAAAACCCTGGGGAAAGCCAGCTCAGCAACCCCCAGACCTTTGTGTAGCTCTAGCTTCAAGCGACCGCGAGTTCGTTGATGATGAAGTGATCCGTGATCGGTGTGGAAGGGCGAGTAGCTATAAATGGAAGAACCCAAAAACCACGTCTTCTTTTGGCTGATCTTGTATCTGTACCTACTGAACCAGGGAGAGTGTCAGGCTAGCGAGATCAAAGGTTAGTCAGAAGCTACGACTTTGTCCATGGGGCCAAATCAATCATTCATGCTACTAACCCCATAGGCTGTGATGTTGTTTCTGTTGTGGCGGTAGAAGAAGTCCAGGATACAAATGGCCTCAGAATTTCTTTAGCACTCATCACCGAGGACACAGTGGAGAGCACGGTGGTCACTGAACTACCAGGAGCCACTGTAGCCCAACCAGAGTGCGGTCCCGGCCTCAGCAGATGTCCTCTCGTCTGCAGGCCAGGCCACTATGACAAAGGGCCTCTCTGCCAGTTCCCTGTGAGAGTCAACGGCACGGAAAATTTCCTAACACTCACCCAGTTTGAAAGAGTGGCTAGTCCCGAAGGTCTTCGGGTGAAAGACACAAAGTTCATACCACCTGCCACTGCTTCGTGTGTTCCTTTAGTAGTGTTCAAAGGAGGGCCTGAGGCACCAGTAGAGAACCTAGTTCCTTGCCTTGATACCACCGCAACCGACAATCCCTTTCTCTACTTTGAGACATTAGAGGATTCCACTCTAAGGGCCGATGAACTTGTGTCTGGGGAGTACGTCAATGTTGATGGGGACATATCCCGTGTACTGTATGGAGAAAATATCAAAGGATGTTCCCCAGAGCATAATGCCTTTTTTAAGGTGGGCCACAAGGTGTATGTGTTCAGAGTCTTTGTTAACGGTGAAGCAAGTTTCCATCATGCGGAGATTGATAATTGCCCTCTTGTGGCAGATTTCCGGTTTTTCGAGCCTGGTCACGTTCAATTTCAGTGCTCTCCTACTGACACTGTGTTGTACGATCCGTGCAACTCGGGGGATGTGGTCGAAAGACTTGACCTGACTGTGAATGCCTCTGTTTTCCAGTGCCAGGAGGCTAACTTGAACATTCGTCACTTTGAGGGAAATCTGACTGTTAGTGTGTACGGTAGTGATGCGGAAGACGATTCAGAAAGCGTGAGTATCCTTCCTTTCAATGACACTACTACTGGAAAGTGTGTGGGTGGCCAGAGCCCGGTTTTGTTCCTAGCACGCAGCAATGGTGAGACCTACTTCCTGGACCTCTCGACTGGCAAACTTCATTTCCTTGCTTCAGACACCTGTGGCCCACACTCTTGCCTTGAACTCAGTGTCCTCCATACAGAGAGTGGCCTGGTTGTGGGTGTCTTTGACTATTCAACCAATGATTACCTTGTGTTGAACCTCGCATGTCCCAGTAGTCCTGAAGTGTCTCGTGTGCACTACAACAGTCCTCCTGCCAGAGTTACTCTTGCGGCTAGTGGCACCACCCAACAATGTCCTCCCTGTAATGAAAGGGATATCCCCTCTGCGTCTTCAACCCCACTGACACCGTCTGGTGGTTCTGCCACTGGACCAGACGTCACATCTCCTGATGAACCGTCTATTGCCACCCCAGACCAAGGGAACAATCTCGCTGCTGCAACAGACAGTGGAACATTAATTGGTGTCAGTATTGGGGTTATTGTAACAGTGGTATTAGCAGCAGCGTTAGTCATTCTCTCTATTGTGGCATTGGTCTGGTGAGTTGAGTTATTGGTAGCTAGCTGTGGGTTAATTAAACTGTTTATTTCTGTGTGCAGGTTTCAAAAATCCAAGCGTTCTTCTTCATCATCTTCTAGCACTGGGTGAGCATAAAATAGTGCACGGGAAGTTGTGGCTATAATTATTATGAGATCATGCTTCAGCAAGAGTGTGGTGCACCAAAACCAGCATGGTGTTGCACACTCCTGGCTAACAAAACAGTTTACCACATCTGGTTTACATAATGCTTCCTTTCTCTTATGATGATGTAATGCGTGTGTCCAGGGAAAGTGATGTCACTGCTGGTGCTTGCAGAGAGGGCGAGATTGATTCTGCTACTGGTGTGTCAGGGGAATCTGATGCGTCTTCAGCTGTGGAGTCTATTCCAGTTCTTCCTATTGGAGAGGATGTTGTAGATGCAGTAGCTGTCTCTCCCAGTGAAGCTGATGATCCAGGAGAGCAGATGGTCATGGTCGCCACCGGAAATACGGCGGACAGAACTAGGTTCACGCCTGGGGAGGTCCGAGACAACTACGATGAGCGGACCGAACGTGAACAAGATTGTAATGACATGGAACACAAGATGTGGAACATGGAATCGGCACTGTAGACAATTTTGTAGTATTATACCATATGTATGGAGCAAGCTCCTCGTGCTATAATTTATTATACATGCAATATTACAGCAATCAAAAAGGGTATTGTGAGGGGTTTGAAAGTCAAGAAGACCTTCCGCTCCGATGCACCTCCCCTGTCAAAGGATTTGTAGACACTACTGCTGGTGCCTGTTGTGGCTGATGTGCTGGTGAACGAAGAAGGGGAAAATGTACTCCCATGACAACTGCTGTATGGCTGTTAACACTTGACTGAACTGCAGTTGTAGTGAGTACATCGAAATCCAAATGAGCAGTGTGTTGAAGAGTTGGGGGTCCAGCTGATTGTACATGTCTCAAGCCAGCTGCTGGCAAGCGGTCTTGACTTACAGTTGCCAAACTGCCTGGGTTGCCGGTAGACCCACCAGAGGAAAGGCGCGAAGGGAAACTATGGTGTGTTTTCGGAAGATGTTGGTTCACCGTGGATGATAATTTAATGCCTTCACTGGGGATTTCCGTCTCTGATAAATGCATACTTAGATTTAGAGTAATCACTTGGCTTATATTCAGGGGCTTACCATGTGAACCCCGATTTAAAATCTCTGGGGGCTCAGTTCCTATATCACCCTGAGAGATAGAGTTGTTTGCTGAAGCTGGAGAGTCTCCTCTCTGCTCTGATCCATGCTGGTTTACATTGACAGGCAGCTCGGAATTATGAGAGAGTCTATCCCTACGTACAGATACATGACATAATAGGAGGCTCACCAATTTATCAACAACTCACAGGTCAAGTTGAGGAGGGGGTCGGTCAACAGGTTTTCTACAAGAAGTTTTTCTTGAACACTTCGCCCTGAAAAAACCTTTCTGTTTTTCTGACTGTGAAACATACCTCATTCTGATGCCTATAGGTAAAGATACAGCCAGACAAAGTAAAATAATCACTCCCACCACCACAGATGGTATTATTACTGCCAGCATATTCACGGTTGTAGAAGGTGCAGGGGAAGACATTGATGATGGTGAATATATTATCGAGGTGTGTGTGGGATCCACAGGGGATGGACTTGGGTGACATGATGCAACTGTGCACCTGAAAGAAGTAACTGTGTTTGTGAAGATTGTAGAAGACGGCAGTAAACGTTTTAAAGGGATGTTGAGAAGGGCGAAGAAACTTGGCTTTGGGTTGTTGGTAACTGCAAAGACTACCGAGTAGTTTGCATGAGGTCGTATTCCCTTGGCAAGTATTAGCTGGCTGTCCTGGTCAAACTCCTGAATCACAAGAATACCACTGACGTTTCTAATGGGACTACAGCTTGGGCCCTGCAAACAGCCATGTTCAGACACCCTGTGAAGCGTGGGTGTGGTCGAGGGAGAGAGGTCTATGACAAAAATCTTCCCAGTGTTGTCTTGATAGGCAAACCAAGGATTGCTAGAGCTGCCAGAGCAGAGTCCATGACGAAAGCCGTCTCCCTCCAGTTCATAGTTCATTCCCCTGACATGAAACTGGTTGGTTGACTCATGAATAACCACCTCCGTCTCAAAGTCTGGACAACGATAAGGCAATCCTTCACTTAGTTCGAGGGATTTCTCTCGGTAGGTATTGTAGTATATTCCACGACGTGAGCAGGTTTGATCCTCTGTACAGCAAGAAAGATGGACTAGTAGGTCAGAAGAAAGAACTACGTATTGAAGAAACGTAACATTGGTGCACTCTTCATCATACCCCAGGGGATACAGGTCCCGTCCATGGTTTGAAGGATCAATGTATGCAACATCACCATCAATTACGACAAAGAAATATTGGTTGTTTTGTTCACGTTGAGCATATACGACGTTTGTGAATCTTTCCCCATTCAACGTAGCGAAACTTTCAAAACTCACTGACGATTCTTCAAGGGCACTCGTGTTGAGCGTTATCTCGTACAGTCGCAGTGAGCTAGAGTCAGGACCCATTTTGAAGATACACACCGAGTATAGAGCGTTCTTGAATCTATGGATGAATAGGGTCTGACATGACCCCTCAACACCGTCCATTTCCATGGGCCAAAGTTGAGTGGCCCATTCTCCTGTGGCTCCGCTGTACTGGACATCCAGCACTCCGATCTCTCGCGCCAGGGGCAATAGAAGGGCGTAGCGTACGGAAGTATCGTCGCCAGTCGTCAGGTTTTCCACCCAAATCTCGTTCGTGTTGAGGGGGGAGAGAAAATAGCCGGCGAAATTCCGCTGGTGTACGACGCTATCCCTGTCACAGGCGACCTTTATTCCAATTCCATCAGTAGCATTACTGACAACCACAAGGCAGTCGCTCCAGACGTGGGACCATAGAGCAGTACCTGAAGAGTGAGAAGGCGTAAAACGATAACTATTAGAGCTAAGCCAGCCCCACCCTCTTTTCTACTATTACCACACCTGTCGTAGCGGCCAAAACAGGCAGTAGAAACAACATAGGGAGTTTGGCCATACTGTAAAGGTCTCGGGAGAGGACAATTTCGTGCCAAACAGATCCGAATCTACGATCCCTGTTTTCAGTCACCGGCTAAGCTTGTGTCCGGGGTTTTCCCTAACAAAACACGCTGACGTAAGACGATTTCACAGCTGATGATATTCATAATAATTACGCTAAAATTGGTTTTTTGACGCCAGCGGCACAAAGTTCAAGGCAGGATCTCGGGAAGGATCATAGGTTTAGCTACGTCCTTGGCCGTCTCCTCGCCGAGCAGTGCAGTCACGAGGACGAGAGCGAACTCGAAGCAGGTCCCCGGTCCTTGACTGGTGATAAGGGTCCCGTCCCTGCTCACGCGGGCCTCCGTGTAACTGTAGCTTTCCTCCATCTTCTCCCTCACGACCGGGTGAGAGGTAACCTGCTTCCCTTTACCGATCCCGTGGGCCAGAAGAGCGGTCGGCCCCGCGCACACAGCTGCTATATACTGCCCACCGCTCTCCTGCGCCTGCAGAATCTGCTTCACTTTGGGAGACTCGGAGAGTCTTTTTGCGCCCCCCAAGCCCCCCGGTAGAACGACCAAGTCGTACGGGCCCCGCTCGGCGGCCGAATCCAGCGAGGAATCTGGGAGAATCTTGACCCCGCGGCTGCATTCCACGGGCTCGGCCGAGTCCAGGCCGGCTATGATCACCTCAACCTTGGCTCTCCGTAAGACGTCGGCCGTGATGACCGTCTCCATCTCCTCCGCCCCAGGAGCCAGGATCAGCAGAGCCTTTTTTCCGGACGCCATTTGCGTTCGCACGTTTCCGCGCATGCGCGTAATCGACTTGTTAGTAAGTCGGGGGCGCGGTGGCTCTGCGATTGAAGAGCGGAAAAGCCCTAACTCCGTACCCCTAGTCGAGGAAAAAACGAAATATGCTTAGATCGAGACATATAACGCTACTGCTGGTCTGTTGGGGCTTGGTTCTGTGGGGATCTGAGGCGGCAGACGAAGCTGGAGAGAATTCTGAAACAACCAGTGGTTGTTACAGATCACAACTGTCCGAGTACGAGACACTGTTCAGAAATGCGTTCGCTCTCAAGTTCGAAGAGACTGGCGCCACCGAGTCGACGGTCTCCGTCTACATCAACTGCATGTCATTCGGTCAAGACAAGGAACTGGAGACGGCAATAGTGTCCGGGAACGTGTCCACCGCCGCTGGCGAACAAGTCCTGAGGTTCACGTGCCAGGAAGACATGCTCTTCGTTCTGGAGTCCGAGAGAGAGTTCAGTAAGGACAGAAACGAGTCGTGTCTAGAGTGTGCGGGGCCAGAGTCGACTGCAGAGGACGCCTGCCTCGTTCGTGAGTCTAGCACATGAGTCTAGCACATAAATCAGAAGTTCACCTTTATGGCTAACCCACCCCCTCTCCTTTCTCCAGCTTGTGCAGAAAACTGTGATCGGTGCTACGATACCTCTGAAACCTGCGGTAGGCATAATTAGTGTGCTACCTATAATACCCCATTGAGTTATCTCTCTCTATCTCCAGATTGTACAAGACGTGTGTATGACACTGATGATGAGTTAATACGTGAGTGACCATTGCTCTGTGTTGTGTAATACTCTATACTATGGGTAATGTGCATGCTAGGATTTCCTCTCTTGTGGCACAAGCAGAATTACTCTCAGGCTGACAAACATGTCTCCAGTTTTCCTTCCTGCCTGTCGTGTTCGCTCGCCTAGACTGCAGAGTGTCGTGGGTTCGAATCCCACCCAGGCTCTTCTTTTTTTCCTTGGAAAAAAGAGTTGTCCTGGGTGTAGTTGATTTATTTGCCTTTGCTTGCCTTTGACCTCGTTGTTGACATGTATTTCTGACAATAGGTGAAATAGAACAGTTGACAGAGGAGGAGCATATTGACGTGGCAATTGAGGAGGTTATTAAGAAGCACTCAGATTGTGCTAGTGAATGTCCGGACCACTATGAAACTAGCGAAGGGGACTCTAGCATTTGCTATCGTGAGTTGCCCTGCGCACACTATTTCATACTGATTGATCTGTGGCTAACTACCCCACACATTGAGGTACAATAGTATAATATACATCCAGCAACCTCCAAGTTGACTAAATGCCTAGAGACTTTAGAGGGAGAAATGTATGTCAGTTAAACCTTTCATAGATGTCATACTTAGTTCGGATCCCTGCCTAAGAAGTTGGTAGATATGCCTTTCGTGTAATCTCCACCAGTTCAAGTGTGTGATATATACAAATTCCTGTAGCCTGTGGGATAAGGTTCTGTGCAGAGTGTCACGAGGAGGGCGGGGAGGGGGAGTGTACCGAATGTCTCCCCCACACTGAGCTGTTCCACGGAAGTCACGGGACCGAGTGTCTGTTTGGCGAGCTGGAAGAGATCCTCCACGTGGCCGAGGAGCAGGAGAGGGAGGTGGAGTTGGAAGAAGAGGAGAGAAACACGTCAAGGATTACATGTGAGTTTTACACAATTCATCCAGGAGACTTTGCGGGGTCGTAAATTTATTGTTACACGAACTTTATGCAAAACTGTGTCCGTGGCTTGTTAAGTGATAAATGTTGTACATGTTTGTTCATTTCAGTGGCTGTGACTCTGCCCATCGTGTCATTGGTGGTGGTGGCTTTCTTCATCTTCATGTCCTACATCGCTCACAGACGCTACCCTCACATCGGGGAGACCGGGAAGTCTAGGCATCGCAACAAGCCACTGTATGTCGATACATTCACACATCTTGGGCTTTCTATTGGAAATGACACCTGTGTCATGATATGCATCTCCTTTTCCCACCTGTATCGTGTTGAAACCCCGTTCTAAAAAGACACACCCATATACGGGCACTCTTTGTTTGTCTTTGACACGGCTGATACGTCACACTCTTTAGACACACAGGGTTCCTCTGCCTATTAGTGCCCAATCAGAGGAAGTTCTCCACTACATAAGTTATCTTGGTGCAAACTGATGTGTGTGATACTGAAGATTACTCGTGCCTGTTGCCTCAAAACACTCTGCAGCCCATCATTGACCGAGGAAGAGCAAAATGCAGTACGATGACAGTGTTGTGTAGCGCACGCCAGCCGTCAAGCTACATATACGCTGATACCAGCACCACGTCCAGCCGTGTACATGGGACTTGGTGGCTGTGGCACATCTACTGCCCTGCCAGTGTAGTGCTCCCGCTTTTAGTGTGCACTTCGCTATACATACATCACTTAGTGTGGTCTATGCACAATAGTATAATATATATCAGATCCTGATAAAGTGACAAGCACAGCTAAGAGTTATTGTGAGGGTCTGTTGTGGGGGAAACTGGTTAGTTGTCACAGTTCTTTTCAGTCTCTTCTGCCTGGTCTGTGTACAAAAGTCATGAAACCTTGCAGGGAGAGACTTTTGCACTTTACAGAACAAGCCTCATATATGTATCTTGTAGTGGTATGTAATCAGTGACAGCCATGCCGGAAAGCTAAATTTGCACGCACACAAAGGTTTCCTCCCCTCATATTAAGTGATGCAAGAGGCATAGATCTGTGTGAGTGAGAATGTGTTCGTGGTTGAGTAGCTCAGACAGTGTAGTCATGTGGTCTCAGAAGGTGTCCTAGCTGATGTCATCACTGATCACTGCTACTATATAGCTACAGTAGTGCAACGAGTTGGTGGCAGCTCACAGCTTGGTCTCTGGAGAGGAAGACTTTTCTCTTTGTTCTCTGGTGGCCTCTCATTCATGTTTCCTCCTGCCTGAGCTAATTCGTGTTCCTGACATGATTTTTTCTCTCCTTGGTGCCGTCTCATGTTCCTGGTCCTGAGCACTCTCCTCTCTCCTTCTCTTCTCCTTCTCTTCCCTTTTTCCGTGCCACCCTTTTGCCATCTCTCATGGATGTTCTCTTCTTCCCTCTCTTCCCTCTCTCTCGTCTGAGTTCTTCTCTATTGTGTTCGTTTTCCTATCGTCTCGTCCTGGTCGCTCATCTCATCTGTTGCTATTGTAGCTCTCTTAGGGATGGTTCTTTCCTAGTTAGGCTGGGTGGGGGTTCTCCGCCTCCTCTCCTTCGGTTCTCGGCACGGTCAGGGCCCTGACTACGTGCCTGTGGGGGGTGGGTTGCGGCGTTTCTTCAGTTCTTCTCCTCCCATTTCTTACTCCACAAAAAACGGCTGCAGTGTAAGATGCTTACTACTCTACATGCTTATAATGAGGGCAGAACTATCCAACCATACATAGATCAGACATAACACACACAGTCATATAGAAGCACTAATTGTTCTGCTTGCATGTTTCGAGAGACACGAAACCACTCAGAGGAGTGGTATGTGCAACCTTCCACAGCTGATAAGGGCTGGGCTGACTTGAAGAGTCGTGAGAGGGTGCCCACCCAAATAGAGCCATCTCCTGTCTCAGTCTTCTAACTATGTGGACCTGGAAGCGAGAGAGTGGGGAGAGCAGAGATAACAGATCGGGAGGGACGAAAAGGGCCAAGCACCTCTCCATCTGTCAAGGAAACTGTTCTCCCAAACTTTTCGTCTCTCCGAGGGCTGAGGAGAGAGGAGGATCTTGGTTTGTGTCAGGTGCAGCTAAATCAACCTTTGTGTTCTCGGTGGGGGTAGCTGTGGGCGGATGGTAGCCTGATGATGTAGTCCGGTCACTTCCCACGACTTGACTGGCTAAGATTTGAACTTAGCGCCTCACCACCACTACAGCAATATGGAAACAAAAACCGTCTGACGGCAGTTTGATCAATGCTTACCTGGGATGATGTCTCACAAGTAGTGCAGGGAATGGCAGAAGAAAAGAAAACATTTCTCCATCTCGACAGCGCCGGAAACTGCCGCGCAAGAGCAAACCAGAGGCCATCTAGCTCAGGATAACGTGCGTTACTGCGCATGCGCACAAATCACCAGCCACGCCTTCATTGGACAGCACCCACCGCACCATGCACACCACTATCTCATGTCCACTTCGAGACGTTCCCTGTGTTGTGCAGTACGGCTGCGTGGCGTGCAACCAGCCCCTGGCGGCAGACGCCGGGATCTCCGTACTGAAGAGAGCGGGAACGCGGCCGACGCGGCAGTGGCCGTAGCAGCAGCGCTGAACGTAACTCAGCCGTGCTCAACGGGCCTTGGCGGAGACTGCTTCTGTCTCTTCTACGATGCCGCGACGAGATCCGTTCGGGGAATCAACGGCAGGTAAGATATTGCACCCTCTCACGCCGCTGCAAAAGTCGTGGAAAGTATAAATTTACTGCACTAGCTAGCTAGCTATAGCTCAGTACGTACGTAATGTTCTACACAGTGGACGACGAGCTCCAAGAAAACGTCTCTGGAAATGCTGGCCTCGCAGGGCTACTCGTCGAGAGCCCACTGCCTGTGAGACATGTCCATAATGTCACAGTACCAGGAGCTGCTGCTGGCTGGGTTGACACCGTCAGTACCATGGGGTCTGGGAAGGTCTGTATATACCAAGCATCTCCTAAATCATAGCATTTTGCATGGATGATGCTTCCATTCTGACATTTTCCCATCAAAGGAGAGACAGAAGATATGTTACAGACCATCCTGACATTATCTGCTTAGCATTATTGGGCTGCGGATTCTGACATGTCGCTTGTGTTTCCCTGCAGTTATCTCTAGAGGAGATTCTGGAGCCAGCCATTCAGCTGGCAGAGGAAGGATTCCCCGTGGCACCCGTGACATCACAGCTTGGGGAGAGGGTATGTGACCTCCAGTCTCGCCCAACACTCACGGAGGACCTCCTCCTGGGAGGGCGGGCTCCCAGAGCTGGGGAGATAATGAAGATGCCACATATCTGCCAACACTCAGAGTCGTCAGTCATTCCCTATACAATGCACCTCTTTTCTCAGCATTGTTGTTGGTGGTCCCTTTGCAAATAGCTGGTTAAGTCCTATGAACCAGTTTTCATGTAAACAGCAACGAGGTTGCAAAGGTAAACGACTCGATACACACGCCAAATGTGAGTATGGAAAGCGCAAGGAAAATATGGCTGGCCCACAAGACTAGCAGTAGATCAGACATGAATCTTTTATCTCTACTGTGTTTCTTAGGCACTAGCGGAGCATGGAAGCTGCTCGGGGTTTGGCTTGGTTCTACAGAGGCAGAGTGGCGAATCCATTGTGAGTGTGTCACAGTCACGCGGAGGACGTAATGACACTGGCTGATCTCGGGGTCACAGGCGTCCACCTTGACGCAGCCAAACTACGGACCGGCTACCGGGAATTGATGTGTAGCGTGGGAGAAATGCGCCCAATGGACAGGCATCACTGTCACTCCTGCACTCGAACATTCTGGAGGGATTTGACATACTCCAGTGATTAATATTGTCACAGTTCGATTTTACCAAGCAGGGCATGTGTACCCCTATTGCATTATGTTAACCATCACAGCATTATATGATCCGCATAGTCGTATGAATCCTCTGGTGTGTTCGCCTCTCTCTCACTAACTATGGCATGACCACAACATGGGAGAGGACCTCGCACGCTTAGAGGCCCTGCAACTGAGTTTTGCTGTACACTCTGTGGTACTGCTCTGACCAGCTCTTACCCTGTGCCGCCCAGAGGTCGCTTGACAAGCTATGCTGCTCAGAGGAGATCACTCATGGACCCCAAAAAGTATATATATACAGTTATCTTTGAATCACGCATTCTGTGACAGCAAGCACTGGACGTAGCACCCTGTATAATGGTTACGTGACAATAATATTGTGTCTCACTATTTTCGCCACTAAAGTTCCACGTGTCCGATACACATCGACATATGAACTAAACCACACCTCATGACTGAGCTTTGCGATATATATCGTCCTGCATAACATGCTACAAAGTGAGTCCATGGCGTATGCAAACAAGTCTGTAGTATTTCTTCCGAATCTGTCAGGTGGTGCCTACCGTATGTGAGAGAGGCCAGCCATCCATCCGCCCCAACGTTGAGCACCGTCTCTACTCAGTGTGACAGACGACATGGAAACTGCCTGCTCCTTCAGCCACACAGCAACTACATGGGCTTGGCACTGCCTCGTACCAAAGGGCTGTGGCTTCACTCTTCGATACGGAGTGTGTAGCTCTCACTTTCATTGGTGTATGCAAACTTGTGAGCGTATAGCGTCCACAAACGGTACCGTGTAAATGTGTGCACGCTATAGTCTTTATATTTCCCCACTAGAATCGCCAATTTCTCGCTGTGACCCCGTATCATCCAGGCAAAACTGCCTGGCCCCTGGGGAAGAGACCTATCACACCATCATCCAGGAATGGCCACCCACTCCGAGTCCGGAGAGCTCTACGCCAGCTTTGTGTGTGATGGGAGGGTTCATGCAGCCACAGGCGTCACGGCAGGTGATGGGCATGGTTCATGCAGCACAGACGGTCATGTGCCGGTAGATGCAGCACACGAGAGAAATGGGAGAAGTTGATTGAAAGATCAGGCTCTGTTTTTGCTGTATATAAATCGCTTTGTACCACATGCTTTCTGTTACAACAAGCGGGGCTCTCGACCGAATGTGATAAATATGTAG